ACACTTGAAAACGTCACATTTAAGCTACTGCTCGTTCACTACGCTGACCTCCCTGAGAAGAACGAGCAAGAAACTCTAGGGATTGCTCTTTTCAAATAAATGCTATGGAATACATTTTGAATCAAATTTGTGTGGATTCTGGAGCCATGTCGTCTTTCCATACATCTTTATCTAACACGTATCTTCTTTCTCATTGAAATTATGTATATTTTTACGGGCATATAAAATATTTGAGTAAATGTACTGTGATGCCACAGTCATGATACCAGTCTCCTTAAACTTTTCTCTGACAGAAACCCGAGAGCCTAGACGGTACACAAAGCCAATCGCTCGTTTTTGCAATACAAATATGGTTTGAATATCTGCCGTTTTACCCCACATGAGAATCCCGTAGGACTTTATACTATGGAAGTAACTAAAGTAAACTAGTCTAGCAGTATTAACATCGATAAGCTCACGTATTCTACGGACTGCGTATGCAGCGGAGCTTAATCTGCTGGCCAGGGAAGATGTATGTGGAAACCATTGAAGTTTACTATCTAAGGTCACTCCCAAGAAGACTGCTTTATTAACAAAGTCTAACTTTTCTCCGTTTATTTCTGTGCTTGGACTAGTCGATTTTACGTTAGGTAATTCAAATTTAACACATTTTGTCTTCTTGGCATTAAGCAATAAATTGTTAGCATTAAACCAATAAACTACCTTAGAGAGGGTATCTTTAATATGGTCATAGTTAATGTCATGTCTGTCTATTTTAAAAATCAAGAATGTGTCATCAGCAAACAACACTATTTCGCAATGGTGCTTAACAAAGAATGGCAGATCATTAATATAAATCAAAAATAAGAAAGGCCCAAGTATTGAGCCCTGCGGAACCCCCTTTTTACCGGAGAACCCAAAGAAGTCACGCCATTTATGTCTACTTTCTGAATTCTACCGTTGAGATATGACGAGACAAGTTTCGACGCCTTGCCATTTACACCGTAATGTTCCAGCTTCCTAATAAGAGTAATATGATCAACGCAATCAAATGCCTTTGAGAGGTCACAGAAAACACCAAAAGCATTCTGGAACCTTTCCCAAGCATCCGAGATGTGTTTTAGTAACGCTACCCCCGCATCGCTAGTCGATCTACTACTAGTAAACCCGTATTGTTCACTATGAAAAATATGATTCCTAACGAAATAGGACAATAATTGAGTCAGCATAACCTTTTCGAATATTTTACTTACAGCTGGTAAAATTGAAATGTGCCTATAGTTGCTAGGATCAACTTTCCTACCGCTTTTGAATAAGGGAATAACCTTGCTGTATTTCATTAAACCGGGAAAAACATCTTCGGCAACGCACCTCTTGAAAGCTACAGCTAAATGCGGGCAAACTAGATCAATAACTGAGTCTATAACTTTATCGAGTTCTTAGGTTTTCGCGATTGTTACACATAGGAAATGAAACTATTTTTCCGGATTTAAATCGCGTATGGTCACGGTTGACTGTCAACAGTCAACCATGACCATGGGACCTGTAAAGGGCCCGAAACGTCGGTTTGTTTGAAAAAACAAATATACGCGATTTAAATCCGGAAAAATAGTTTCATTTCCTATCTATAACTTTAGTTGATATGCCCCACAGATCTTCAGTTATTTTAACATATATTGATTTAAAAGCTTTTATCATGTCTTGTGGATTAACATGACGGAAATTAAATAAACTGCCACAAACGTTAACATTTTCCTTTAGGAGATCAATAGCAAGTGAAGGGGAGGAATTTAATGTTTCTGTAGTGTTCACAGCAATTTCCGAAAAGAACGATTCAAAAGCTTGGGCTACTGTATCTTTAGATTTTATAAGTTTACTGTCTAATTCTAAAACTATATCTCTATCGTGTTGTTTAACCCTGCCTGACTCTTTATTTATTATGATCCAAGTAGTTTTATTTATCGATTATCTAATTTTGTCGCTGTGAATCTTAACCTTAGAAGCTACACATACTTTTTTAAATATTTTTGAATAAATTCTAACATGTTCTATGAAATTGGAATTAGTATTATAAGTTTTCATAGCATATAGCTCATACAAACGAGACCTACTCTTATGAACACCTACTGTTGCCCAGTCGTTGAATTTAGTCTCTCTATGGAAAGTTAATGTTTTCGATTTAAATATATTATCAAAGTCATTTTTAATTAAACCAAATATCGTGCTATATAAAGTATTTGGAACCTCCGGTATATGGGGTAGAGAATTTAAACTACTGCCGATATTATTTTGAAATCTAATGATTCGTTCTGTGGTACGGTCTGCAGAGAAATTGGTCTACCTTCTTGCTCATTTTACAATTAAAAGAAGCCAATTGGCCACCTTTGGTCTGATCTTAAGCAATTTATTATTGATTTAGGGTCGTATTCTAGAACTCTACTCAATGCTCAAGTCAGGATTTGAGTATGGTTTAAAGCACCCGAAATCATACTCAAGTCCCTGCCATTACGGTCGTATTTCCAGTGCTTGTGTTTCCAGTGCAATCCTGACTTGAGCATTGAGTAGAGTTCTAGAATACGACCCTTAGACACTTCGTCTGTGTTACAAAAGATGTTGTCAATACAAGTAGAAGAGGAGGCAGTGATGCGAGTAGGTTCTAGGAAAAGATTAATCAAGTTAAAACTTTCAAATAAATTAATGAGTCTTACAGAAGTAGAGCAGTTTTCCAACAGGTTTACATTGAAATCTCCAGATATTACTACGTTTTTTTTGGTTGGAAAAATCCGCTTTAAACTGTCTTCCATAATTAATTCAAACTAGTTAAAATTAGCAGAGGGGGGGCCTGTATACACATAAGACGACAAACTGATCCAATTCCACACATGAAATCTTTATAGTTCGTTCAGTAGAAAGATCTGTGATATTCCAAGTCTATGAAAGCAGATTTTCAGCCCACTGTGCGCCGGGAGTACTAACGTCATAAATTGTCATCGTTATTAGAGTTGTCGCGACGCGTAAAGTTTACTTCTGGACAAGAATTTTCAATGCTCTGATTTTACATTTAACGTAAACAAAAGTATTGTAGGGTCCTTAACGCGATACTTTTGGCTTTGTCGGTCATTCCATTCCACCCGGTATAACAGGATAACACTGTAATCTTTATTTTATTTTTATTAAAAAACAATTTGATGGTATTATTTGTTATTTAAGTAAGTAAAACAATTACAAACAGGGTGACTTTTCTATCACTAGGCAATTTTAATATTATGATCTTTGATGAAAATATAACGTGTTTTTTTTTTATATGACTCAGTACTAAAATGTTGAGAAATGACCTCACACACTTATCTAAAACACGATCACGTTTTTAGACAGACTACGCAAAACGCAATCGTAACATTACCCCGCGCCTCTGCCTAGCGAGCTAGCTATTGTAGTTTATTGTACTCTAGGCCAGTGCGGCGATGCATCTGTGGCGCGCGCTAATTATGCTTAATTAAAAATTTAATAACCTTTATCATAACACCCATAATTGTTTTTAAAAAATACATGAATAATATCAGAATTACACATGTTTGTTTTTCACAACCTAGAAAATAAATTGAAATAACCATTTCGACTTATTTTGATTTTTACACACACTCAGAACCACAGCAATCAGAACTTATTTTCGACTCTTGAGACGCGTGAAACTGAAGTGAAATACATTTTGACGACCTCAGCGGACCAACGGTTAGCGTTTTCGACTCCCAGGTTGTGGATATTAAAGGTGGGGCGAGGTGAGCACCTAGACGGAAGTAGTAAAAGTAGCGTGACGTCTGTTCGAAACGAACATGAGCCAGCTACCAAAAAAATGAATGCGACGACGCGTCTCGCGAGATTCTCTTCCCCTCTTCACCCGAATTATCCCTCATCGGCCCGACTAACGTGGTGTTTTTGACTAGGTAAACATATATTATCCATTATTATTTTGGATAAATAATTTTATTGCGAAAAGAAGGATGGCGAAAGCTGCGCCCAATAACGATAAAGAGCCATTCATGGACCTTGCTAGTATAATTTTGCGTTTTAGTTTGTGCCTAGTTATCAATATATTTTTGTGTATTTTTAGAAGTCAAGAAAAAAATAATTGTAAAACCTTATATTTTAGAATAGATGCAAGAACACAACACAATTGATTCAGTTCGGCCATAGATTAGGTAACATTCTTATACGCACGTTTAGCTTTAAGCATGATTGAATGTTTACCTACTTGAAGTATTTTATAGTACACACATAAAACTTTAAAGCTATAAAATACCAAATGAAATAATCAATTAAATAGTAGTGACTTAAAGCAAAAAATAAAACACAATGTGACAAAAATATTTAGACAATATATAATTGGGAGACAATTAAAGTTGCAAGGGAACGTCACATCGAACAAGAGACGTCATGTGAATGTCACATTGATATTGAGAACACTGTGATCAGTGTGATTTGTGCCATTTGGGCAGATTAATTTTTATTCATTTTCATTGCTGCAGAACATGATAAGGCATATTAAATGTGGCAGATTTGAGAATATACGGGAAGTTCTTTATTATTTTTGGGAACAAACTGAAAACTTTTTGTTTTCTGCTACTACGAACTACAGCGAAATGCGAAATACAGGACAATGTTACAAACATAACCTATATCAACTTTATAACCCCAGCTTCTACTGTACTCAAGTAGCTTTTTTGATGCTTTGATAATGAATCACAAGTATTGTTAGGTCTCCTTAATGAAAGTCGTGAGAACACTGCGTCACAAAATACACGGGATGTCGCCATCTTTCTTTGACCTTTTTTTACCCACCAAGTTTCTTTTCAAAAGTGGAGTCTGAATGATTAGAAAATATTGAGTAGAAAAAAATGTGGCTACTGTTAAAAAACTCACCATACTGAACCATATTGGACCACTATAAAAGACAATGCAGAAGATTTTATAATTCCTACTTTCAGTTATTTTCAAAATGCCTTTTATAGTAAAATACAAACCTTGAGAGCAGCTTCCAAGTTTTGTTTCTGTTCTGCATCGAGAGGATTAGCGGTAATCACTTCGCATGTAACTTCACCACGGTGTGCAGCCATCATAATCTTGAAGGCATTGATCACTGCCTCTAGTTTATCCAAACGGCCATTCTCGGCAAGAAGGCCCAGTAGGTTACTTGTAGTGGGACATAGATTTGTCTAAAAGTGAACAGTAGTCGTGGTGTACAAAATTGTGGTAGTTGTAGGACTAGTAGATAATAGGAATTAGCTGCTACATTCCAACCATAATTGGCTGTCGCGACTTGCGCGAGAGCGACATAAATCGCTGGATCGGTATGCGACAATAGCAGTATTTCGCTATTCGCTCAATTCGCACAAGTCGCGACTAGGTGCTGGTGTCTAACCACCATTCTTTTTAAATTATACTAAAAGTGCAATGAATAAAAAAAAAAATTACCAACTTTGTTAGAGGCACCATGTATCTTTAGAATAAGTGTTGGGTTCAACATACATAATTTAAACCCAAGTACCAATACTTCTATCACAATGAAAACTATGTAACATACAATGACCAATTAATACTTAATTTATGAATTGTGCTTGAAAAATTTACACCTGCATTGCACAAATCGATGGGTCCTAACCTAAGTATACGGGCCAAACTAACAATTTGATCATTTTCCCTTCTTTCTTTCTTTTCTTTTTCACTTTCTTTGTGGGAAATGCTTCATTTCATTATAAAATGAAGCATTTCCAACAATGTAATCATTTCACATTTCAGTGTAAGCAGGAAGAGAAATAGAAAATTATATGTAATTCTATTGTAAAGGATGAATTACTTATAATTTTCTATTTCTCTTCCTGCTTACACTATGCTCGACGATTTACACATGAAATATTAGTAACATAAGGAACAACTAAACATCTTTTTTTAATGTAACGGACATGCTATATTTGAAACCACTAGGCATTCCTACATTTTAATAATACCAATTGATAGAGTGGGAACATCCGAATCCAATGATATATGTAACTCATTTTCGACAAAATGTACCTTACATTAATTGATACAATATCAATCAGTATCAATTCAAAACAAAAAATGTCATAATATTTTTTGTTACATTTTGCTTTAAAAAAGGTGTTAGTGTACAGGCTTTTATTTAGCCTATCCAACAACACCTCGCTTAATGATATATTAAAAAAAAAATTGTTAGTAAAAAGAATTTGCCAATGGGTAAAATTTGGTAAAGGTAAAAACAAGATTGTTGGTAATTATTAACTATTTTATCACAGTGTTTACCTTGGAAGCGACTTGTTTAAGAGCATCGACCTTCAGGCTTCTCTTCAGTGTGGGGTTGATGATGAATTCTTTAAGTTTAGGATCAGTTTTAATCGATTGTTTAAAACTGTTCAATTCCTTCTCGACAGTGTCCAAGGTCTTGGATTTGGACGCAGCCGAATATAAGGCTGCCGCATATCTACCCTCCAGGCCAAAAACCTGCACTGGCGGTTTCACCATTTGAGCAGCAGTGGCTGAATTGCTCAAGGAACGTACCTGAAAACATTACGTAATTCATTATACCACTGTTAAACAAAAGCAAATAACATAAGGATTGCTAAAAATTCACCAGCATATTTGTCTTCATCAAGTGCATGATTATAGCTGTTAATTATTCACAGAAATAATAGAAGCCACCCCCTGAAGGTCGATCAAATCCAAAAATTCGACACTCGACAGCGAGATCACACAGCACATGTGCGTTCAATTCAATATTTGTTTGGTAACGTTGAAGTTTCTATTAAAAATGATAATTGAGTATAAGAATACATAGCAAAAAATACCATCGAACAAACCATCATGTTGGCAAAAAATCTTCAACAATCTTTAGTGTCTTAGCTTCTATTGAATAAAGTAACAGTGTAAAGGAATTTTATAAATGAACAATATGCGATAGTAATTTCATAAGTAAAAGAAATTTCAGAACGCACACAATTGACAGTTCTATTTTTTTCCTTCGTTCCGTTTGGAACAGGCGAAGGTCGGATACCATACTGCCTAGTCATTAGTTTCTCTTTTTCTCCAGTAAATATGTTTCAATTTAAGTCTTCAGCGCAAGATCCTTCAGTTTAAGTTTTCAGTATTTCAGTAAGAGCCTTGTAAAGTCTTTAGCTTATAATATAATCTCAGTACAGAGTACTAATTCGCCACTATACAGAACTTTACACTGGAGCTAATAAAAATCGGTTCTCACTACTCATAGTATATTGAGGGAGAAATAGCAAAATCAACCATTAAAGTAATTGCTCCTAAATTAAAGTTAGGCGCTATTTATAAAAATGAATCTTCATGCGTAAACAGCCACCTTTCGAGGTGGATGATTTTCTTCAAAATAAAATGGGACCACTATGGAAGTACCCCCTTCCAACAAAAAAAGAATCATGTAAATCGGTTCACAAATACCGGAGTTATCGCGTAACATACATACAAAAAAAAGAACATACAGACGAATTGAGAACCTCCTCCTTTTTTAAAGTCGGTTAAAAATATGAATTATCCAGGATACGAAAAAGTCTCGATAATATACTAGAGCCTAAGGGTCGTATTCCAGAACTCTACTCAATACTCAAGTCAGGACATGAGTATTGCAGTGAGCACTGAAAATCATACTCAAGTCCTTGCCATTAGGGTCGTATTTCCAGTGCTTGAAATCATACTCAAGTCTGCTCAAGTCCTGACTTCAGCATTGAATACAGTTCTGGAATACGACTCTTAGAGTCGTATTCTAGAACTAGGTTTAGAGTAGAACCAAAGTCAGGACTTGAGTACATATTGCAGTGAGCACTGAAAATCATACTCAAGTCCTTGCCATTAGGGTCGTATTTCCAGTGCTTGTGAGTTGAGCATTGAGTAGAGTTCTAGAATATGACCTTTAGAGTCGTATTCCAGAACTCTACTCAATGCTCAAGTCAGGACTTGAGTATGATTCAAAGCACTCGAAATCATACTCAAGTCCCTGCCATTAGGGTCGTATTTCCAGTGCTTGTGTTTCCAGTGCAATCCTTACTTGAGCATTGAGTAGAGTTCTAGAATACGATCCTTATTAGAGTGTCGGTCAACCATTTTTGATAACCGAGACCTTAGAGGATGGAAAAAAATAAAAGAAACCGAGACCGGTTCGATCATTACTTCCCTTTGACAACCGTATCATGTATGTACCATAAGTACTGCGAAATGGACACGGTTGGCCATCGAGTATGGTTATATTATATTCGATGCGGTTGGCATTTAAGATGACGTTACGTATTTTCGATTCCTGTGTCTGACACAGACCAATGTAATGCTATCTCTTTTGGCTTAAGACGGCACGCAATAATTAAACAAAGGTAATAATACTATGTTTATGTTTTCTACGTCGAAATGCATCACATACATGTAACGTCTGATTTATATATGTCAACACTTAGAATAATAACGCATAGAAACCTAGTCCGCACACGCTAAGTGAGGCAAATTGAAGCGCGCCCAAAGGGCCTACACGAGCGGACGGGCCTTCAGTGCTCAAGGTCAACTTGCACCGCGAACAGATCAAGAATTTTAGCTAAAAATGACGAAATGTGCGGTAAATGAGTGCAAAATACCTCAGAGAAACATAAAATAGATACTAACATCACATTCCACAAGGAAGTAACGCGTTTCGACTTGTATTTTTATGTATATATTCACTAAAACCGAAAATTAACCTACTACTAAAACTAGCCTACAATTTGATTTTTCCTCACTTGTGACAGTTCGTTTGATATGAAACTATCACTCTATGCGTTATTATTCTAAGTGTCAACATAACATGTCCTTTAGTTTCCATAGTCTAAGCCTTTTTCAGTACCTAAATCAGTAAATTGTAACGATTGTCGTATTGTACGCATTGGTTTTTAAAGTAATATTTTTTCAAGAAAACGCAATGTCGGGTAGTGATGAAAATACGCACGTTAAATCGCCTGAGCGGAAAAATTGCGTAAAGGTAGAATAACCGAGACGTTACGAAACAAATCCGCGTACAAAGTACGAGAAGATGATAAACCTGAAGAAGATTATTTTCGCAAACGATTAGAGTGTTTTAAAAATGTGTGGGAAACAGATTGAAAGCTGTTTCTTACTTACTTACTACTTAGTCATTTTAGTCAATTCAAATCGGTAAATGAAGAAAATAATTTTCTAGCATCCATGATAATAGTTAATTTCTAAAGCATCGACGCTCATGAAAAGAAGTCATAAACAAGTGATTGTTGACATAAGCTTTAAATGTTATTAAAAATTAAGTTGAAAAGAAGTTACTGTTATTATAAAGTTTAAAAAAGTGATAATTTTATACATAAGATTAAAAAAATATTAAAAAATTAAGTTTGAAAGAAATTATTGTCATGATATCATCTGTATTTCTTACATTTTATCATTGACTTATGCTTTTAAACTATAAAAAGATGTTTTTCCCAAAGTAATGATTTCTTTATTTTTTTCATTATTTTTCCCGAAGAGTCCACAGACTACTTAGTGAACTACGTGGAAGAGTCCTCACTAGACGTGGTGAATTCGATAATGCCATGCGTTAGCATCTAATAGTCTGTGGATAATGCAAATGAAAAACTATCGATTTGAAAGTAGTTTTTATTGTGCGATGATTGTTTTGTTCTTGTACCGTGACAGAGCGGACTGTCTATCAATGACGCCTCCAGTCCTATATGCTCTAAGGTGGTAGACATCCACGACATTAATAAAATTAAAAACGTATGATACTATTATGTCATTCACTCACAGCATTCCTTTGTAATGAAGTCATTGCTTTTAATTATTTTGACGTTGACGTTTCATTCAATTTTTTTTTTCTTCGTTTTTGGCCTTTCGCGGTCAGCGTTGAAGCCAATGACAAGATAATTTAACTTCATTTAAAAACAGGGAAACCTTTTCGTATGTTAAGGAATTTTGGAAATGGATTTAGGAAAAAAACGGATCGGGAGAGGAATTTCATGTTAGGAAATTTGTAGAACAGACAATAAATAATAATAATAATATAATATTAATGATATAGGAACTGTCTAAATTTTTATATTGTTTTCTACAATAAAGTTACATAAATACTTATAAATATGTGAATCATTACATGATAACAGTACCGAAATGGACGTAGGAAGAGGTATACCTGATTGGATACGGTTTTGGAAGAGTAAGGAATAATCATATTTAGGGCAGTTTGTAAATATGTGCCACATTCGCATAAATCACTATTAACGATGTTCAATTTCGCAAGGTGTGCAGGAGTACAAACATGACCCAACCGAAGTGATGAAAACCATGGTTTTACAGGAATAGAAGGTTGAATGTAACCATAAGATTTACCTTTTAATTTACTGCTTTCAGACCACATCACACCCCAATCATGTCTAAGGAAAAGTTGCCAAATCGTGATTATAATTTTTATAGTACGCCGTGTCCCCGTCAACAGCAGCATCATTTGCGAGCTGATCAGCACGATCATTTCCATGAATACGGGAATGACTCGGTATCCAGGAGAAAACTACAGACAAGCCTTTCGAAGAGCAAGCTAACAACAAATTTCTAATTTCGAGTATTATTGGGCAAAGCATTCGCGTTTTAAAAGGAAATCTAGACAGTGCCTGAAGAGCACTCATAGAGTCGGAAAAAATGACAGTATTTCTTAGCTTAGCTAAGAGAACGTACTCGACTGCCTTATATAAGCCGAAACACTCTCCAATAAAAACAGAAGTTTCTGGAGGCAATTTAATTTTTTGAACAATGTTATATTGTTGATGATACACACCAACGCCAACAACACTGTCGCTGCCATGCTTAGAAGCATCACTAAAAATGCAGTGCCACGATTGGAAGTCCCTGTCTCTAATGAAATTGAAAGTATGGGAGTTTTCAATAGAATTCTTATTGATACCTAAAGACAAACGGATGTCCAGAGATAAAACTAAAGCTTCGTATTTAGTAGAGAAAAGAGGCAAACAAAAGGAGTTATGAATTGGAGTTTGCAAAGACAAACACTTACGGAAACTAATAACCAGACAAGGAAGAGACTTATGAGTCCAATAAGGAGATGTTGATGCGTCAGTTGAGAGGCGACGAAGTCGTAACAAAAGAGGATGTTTTGTAAATTACACGCAACGGAGCAGATATTTATCGGATAAGTATTGGCGTCTCAATTGAAGAGGAGGTTCCACACACTCCACTTGCAACGCATTGATGGGACTCGACTTCATTGCTCCCAGAATAATTCTTAAAGCTTTAGATTGCACTCTATCAAATTTTTTAAATGCCGATGAGTAACATGGGTCAAGAATAAAAGATGCATAATCAAAAAGACTCCTAATAAGTGAATTATATAATAATTTTAAACAAAAAGAATGTGCTCCCCACCAAACACCCGTTAAACATTTGATAATATTCAGGTTTTTCTCACATTTAGCTACGATGTAATCTGAGTGTGGAATACCAGTAAGCTTGGAATCTAAAATAACCCCCAAAAATTTAGTTTGAGTTACAAAGGAAAGAGGAATATTATTATAAACCACATTAGGTATTGGTGGATTACGTTTTCTAGAAAATAAGACAACAGTGCTTTTGGGAATGGAAAGT